GGACAAATGGCCTGGGTCGCCCGTAGAAAAACTACCAAAACAAGCATGCCAAAGAGCTGATGCCAGGATCTGAGCGTGGCGGCGCACACCTGTGGTCCCGGCTACTCAGGAGACTGAGGCGGGAGGATCGCTGCAGCCGGGGAGGTCAAGGCTGCACGTGAGCTCTGATCGCTCCACTGCACTTCAGCCTGGGTGACAGAGGGAACAAAACAAAACAAAAAAAAAGAGGCCTATCAACCGGATGCAAAGTGTAGACATTGTCTAGACCTAAATCAAACAAATAGGCCGGGCGCCATGGCTCACGCCTATAATCCCAGCACTTTGGGAGGCCAAGGCAGACGGATCACTTGAGGTCAGGAGTTCGAGACCAGCCTAGCTAACATAGGGAAACTCTGTCTCTACTAAAAAATACAAAAATTAGCCAGGCATAGTGGCGAGTTCCTGTAATCCCAGCTACTCCAGAGGCCGAGGCAGGAGAATTGCTTGAACCTGGGAGGCGGAAGCTGCAGTGAGCCGAGATCATGCCACTGCACTCCAGCCTGGAAGACAGAGTGAGAGTCCATCTCAAACAATAACAGAACAAATGAAAAAGGATTACGGCAGGGTACAGTGGCTCACGCCTGCAATCCCAGCACTTCGGGAGGCCGAGATGGGTGTATCACCTGAGGTCAGGAATTCAAGACCAGCCTGGTCAATATGGTGAAACCCCATCTCTACTAAAAATACAAAAATTAGCCAGGCATGGTGGCACATGCCTGTAATCCCAGCTACTCGGGAGGCTGAGGCAGGAGAATCACTTGAACCCAGGAGGCAGAGGTTGCAGTGAGCCAAGATCGTACCACTGCACTCCAGCCTGGGTGACAGAGTGAGACTCTGTCTCAAAAAAAAAGAAAAAGAGAAAAGAAAAAGGATTATAAGATAACTGGGGAAGTATGAGGAAACTGAGGCAGGTTTGTTTTTAGAAAAGTGTAGAATATTTCTGGCTATATGACGTTTGGGATTTGCTCTGAAATAATCAGGGAGGTGAGGAGTGCAGGCACAGGTGACAAGGCCTGGTCACAGCTGCTACCTGCTGAGCTGCTGACAGGGACCCCAGGAGGGCATGAGACCATTAACTTCTGAGTATGTGTGAACATTCCCATGATACAAAGGTGGTCAACATTTTACCAAAGGAAATGTGACCTCATCGTAATGGCAAAGAATTAGGGATCACTCACCATGTGAATCCTAACTGCTAAATCCAAGCACGTATCCTGCCTCTCTAATAAGTGTAATGGTAATAAGAGTACTAGTAACCAGAATGGCATAATGACAGTGGCCCTGTTCTGAGCATCACACACAGCGGACTCACTTCATCCTCCCAGCAACCCTGGGAGGCAGCAGGAACCATTATCCTCCTGCTCCAGATGTGGGAACTCAGAAACATCTGAGGCTCAGGGCCTCGCCCAAAGTCAGAGGATGCTGTGCTGGGGCAGGGAGAGGCTGGAGGTGGAGCTGGACTCCTGAGCCCTTCCCTGGAGAGGGGTAGAGGGAGAGGAGGCAAGGCGAGCCCTCAGGCCTCAGTGAGTGGGGATATACAGGACCACTGGCTATCATTCCCCCCAATTCCCATCAAATAATAAAGGCTCTTGCAATGTAATATTCGCCTTTTTAGCACAAACCTTTGCTGCAATTAAACTACTGACTGGCAGGCAGTCCTACCCACAGGAGCTGAATTGTTAACTGGCAGTAGAGGACTTCCGGGACCACAGAGGCGGCTGGTGTCACAGGACATGTCAGAGTCAACCCGTGGGGACAGTCCTCCCTACAAGCTTGCAGAGCTGGGCCTAGCCCCCCTCTGAGTGTCAGTCAGATGGCATGTTGCCCCCAGCCCCAGACTCCAGGTGTCAGGAGCTGTAAGGGAGGCCAGTGCGGTGACATCAGCATCCTTCCCCTCAGAAGGAACCCATCTCCCCTCTGTGGCTTCAGTCAGATCCTGCCTCAAAACAGAGAAATCGGGGAAGTTTCCACCGGGGAGGAGGGAAGCTGAAATGCAGGGGGAGAGGGGGAGGAGGGAGATAAGAGGCAGAGAAACAGGGAGAGAGACAGAGGTGACATGGAGAGGGCCCAGACAGACGTCTGGACAGACCAGAAATGGGAAGATAAGACAGTGACAGAAGCCGCACCACCAAGCTTGAGGCCTTCTCTGGGCCTCAGTTGCCTTGTCTGGAACACAGGAACCACAGTCACATGTGCCCGTAGCGTGCCGTGACTTAACCCCTCCATTTCAGAAGCCTAGAAAAGCACCCAAAACATGCCAAAAGCTAAAACACGTTTGTTGCCACTTGTGCAGGCCGGCAGCTCTCACCCCAGCTCAGAAGCATGTCCGAGTCGCCAGGGGAGCATTAAAAAACCCCAAGACCCAGGTCCCACAGCTGGAGAGTCAGCTTCAAATGGTCCGGCTTGGACCCCTGCAGTGACCCCCCCACCCCAGGTGACCCTAAGGTGCAGCCAAAGGGTGAGGAGGAGATTGGGGAGTGAGCAGGAGGGCAGATCCAGCCCTGAGACCTGGACGGGGGAGGGTGTAAAGAGAGACCGAGACAGACTGATGCAGTGGGGGGAAGGCAGTACCCGGAAGGCCCTCTCTGGTTCACCCTCCCCCACCTAGGGCCATCAGGAGTCTGGGGCCTGCGGAGGAATGCAAGGAATGAAGCCAGGCCTGGCACGGCCATCTCCAGAGTCCCCTCCTCCTTCGCAAACTCCCAGGAGGCGTTCCTGGTCCAGCCGCCTCCAAGCCGTCACTCAGTCCTCCCCGCCTGAACAGCCCTTCCCAGCCCCCTCCTTGGAGTCCAGGTCCCGAACCCTTTATCCCACTGGGTATCCAGACACTGGCTCAGCTCAGGCATCCCCCTCAGTGCACTTCTCAGCGTCTGCAGGAGGAGCAGCGGATGAGCAACCGTGACCCCGAGAGCTGGCAAGGGGCCGCGAGGCTGATCAGCAGCTCTGGCAGGAGGGAGGCCTGAGGAGGCTTCCCAGAGGTGCTGACCTTTAAGCAAAGACCCACAGAATAAATGAAGTCAGAGCACTCTACAAAGGCCAGCAAGGCTGGGGTGCTGCAGGAAAGCGGGGAGGGGCGGGCCCTGCCAAAGCTGCTGTGGGGAACGATGTGAATCAGGGGAGGAATCGGCTGCAATCTCCATCACACGTGCTGCCCTCCACCTGTCACAGCACAAAGGAGGATGCAGAACCCCCCACTGACCCACTGGAGGGTGCTGGGGTATCCCCATATCCTGCCACCCCACAGAGTATCCCCACTTCCTGCCACGCTGTGGGGAGACCCCAGCTGAACTGCTTCCCGCATCCCAGAGCCTATTCCCTAATAATTAAACCGTAAGCTGATTAGTCAAGGCAAACCTTTAATTAGCCCTTGAAATCATTCAGGAAAATTACAGCCTCCTTTCTGGGCGCCCTGCCCACCCTCCACCAGGGTCCAGGGGCGGTGCCAGGGAAGATGCAGAGAATGGGGGAAGTGGCCTCCTCCACCGCCATGAGGTCCTCAGCCAGCAAGGCTGAACCTAGGCTTCGAGGCATCTTGTGGGAATGGAGGGCACAGACTCCCTGCCACATCATGAACTACCCTGGGAAAAACCCCACAAGAGGCGGCCAAGGCCTTGGCTGGAAAAGTGTGAATGAGAAGACAAACAAATGGAGAGACATACCACGTTCGTGGATTGGGAGACTCAGCGTCAGGTGTGTGCGCACGAGCACACGTACATACACTGACGATGTACTTGTCTAATATGTAAAGGGAATTACAAAAAGTCAAGAATGGGCTGGACGCAGTGGCTCATGCCTGTAATCCCAGCACTTTGGGAGGCTGAGGCAGGCAGCTGGCTTGAGCTCAGGAGTTTGAGACCAGCCTGGGCAACATGGTGAAATCCCATCTCTACAAAAATACAAAAAAAAAAAAAAAGTTTCAGAACAGGATGGCCAACATGGTGAAACCCCATCTCTACTAAAAATAAAAAATAAAAAAATAGCCTGGTGTGGTGGCGTGCACCTGCAGTCCCAGCTACTGAGGCTGAGGCAAGAGAATTGCTTGAACCCGGGAGGCAGAGGCTGCAGTGAGCCAATCTTGCACCACTGCACTCCAGCCTGGGTGACAGAGCAAGACCCTGTCTCAAAAAAAAAAAAAAAAAAAAAAGTCAAGAAGGGCTAAGACGCCAGGCACAGTGGCTCACGCCTGTAATCCCAGCACTTTAGGAGGCTGAGGCAGGCGGATCACAAGGTCAGGAGATCGAGACCATCCTGGCTGACACAGTGAAACCCCGTCTCTACTAAAAATACAAAAAATTAGCCGGGTGTGGTGGCGCATAACTGTAGTCTCAGCTACTAGGGAGGCTGAGGCAGGAGAATCGCTTGAACCCGGTAGGCAGAGGTTGCAGTGAGCCGAGATCGTGCCACTGCACTCCAGCCTGGGCGACAGAGCGAGACTCTGTCTCAAACAAAACAAAAAAAAAAAAGTAGGGGGAGAAAGTGACCTGAACTGGCCCTTCCTTCGCAGGAGTCTGGAAGAACAAATTAAAAGCTGCCCCACCTGACTGGCTACCAGAAAAACGCACATCAGACCACAGAGGAGATGCCACCAGATCTGTTCTAGTTTGCAAAATGGGCGAAGGACTTAGCATTGGTGCCCCCCTCACCTACGAATCTGTGAAATGGGTCACATGGGTGCGGCCACATCCTGGGATTTCAGGGAGGCCCAGGCAGCAGCTTGGGAGCACTGGCCAGGGCACAGGGCCGGCACGCAGAAACCCTCCATTCGTCTTCCCTATTCATCACCCTGAAGAGCTTCCCGGATCCGGAATAAGGACTCCCCGGGCCCAAGCTTGGTCACACCAGACCCTCTCCTGCCTCCAAGCAGGGGTGCCCCAGATGGCTCCAAAGGCCTGGCTCCAAATGGGTGGCAACTGGGTCTGTTTATCCACCACCACATCCCTGGAGGCCACACGAGCCAGCACTCCACCAAATTTGTTGGAAAAAAATAAACAATCACATTTGTATTTATGTGTCAGGCACCAGAATAAGTGTGTTAGGAGCAGAACTTCAGGGACATCCAGGAACACCGGAAGCAGCCCCCTTCTAGAGAGGAAGACGCTGAGGCAGAGACAGGCCCAGGCAGCTGTCAAGACTGGAATCCAGACGAACCCGAGAACCAACCTACCGTCTTCCTTCAATTCCTCAAAGGCCCCCTGCACTCCCCCGCCCGGAGACCTCTGCACTGGCAGCTGCTTCAGCCTCCTCCCTTAGCTGAGGCCAAGTTCATCCTTCAAGTGACATTTCCTCCTCAGGAAAACCTGCTCGGTGTGCCCCACCCAGGGCGGGTCCCCATTACACGCTCTGGCAGCCCAGCTTACTACAGTTCAGTCAGTCAGTCGGTCAACCAGCATTTACTTTACGGAGAGACCACCACACCCGATCCTTGAGAACACAGCAAGGGGCAGGGCAAGGCCCCGTGGTTCTACCCCTGCCCCCATGCCCTGAGGCTACGATATGCCAGGAGGCGAAAGAAACCAACAGACCCACATGTCATCATGTAAGTAACCATCGTGAGTGTTACCGGGGGAAGGTGCTAGAGGGAGGGTGGCAGGGGCTGCTCCTGGAGACCCATGGTCAGGGAAGAAACATCTCCCCAAGAGGGCCACCGTCGGGCTGCCTGAATGGAGGGAAGGAGGGTGCTGCCTGCCCAGGGGGCAGCAAGAACAAAGGCCCCGGGGTAGGACCCGCCTGGAATGTTCCAGGAATGGCAGCAAGAGAGGAGGGAAGCAGAAGCGGGGCAGGCAGGAAGGTGGCCGGGTGGCCTGGGACCTTGCAAGCTTCTCTCCTGGGAGAGGTGGAGCCAGGGGAGGGCTCCTGCCAGGTGCACACAGCTCCCTCTGGCTGTGTGGGGATAACTGTGGGGACAGTGGGGGAGGAGGGAGCAGGGAGCACGCCTCAATGGTCCAGGAGGGAGATGAGGGTGGCTTGAACTAGGTGGTGACAAGGAAGGGGGTGGCGACGAATGGGGATGACGAGAAAGGGGGGTAACGAAGAAGAGGGGGTGACGAGGAAGGAGGGTGATGAGGAAGGGGGATGACGAGGAATGGGGCAACAAGGAAGGGGCTAACGAGGAAGGGGGTAATGAAGAAGGGGGTGATAAGGGGGGTGACGAGGAAGAGGGGGTGATGAGGAAGAGGGGGTGATGAGGAAGGGGGTGATGAGGAAGAAGGGGTGATAAGGGGGGTGACGAGGAAGGGGGGTGACGAGGAAGGGGGGTGACGAGGAAGGGGGGTGACGAGGAAGGGGGGCCCGCAGCGCCAGGTTATGTTCTCAGGTGGAGTGACAGGCTCTCCAGACACTTTGGATGTGGGGGTGGCAGGGGCAAGAGAGGAGTCAGGATGACACCACATTTGGAGAAGCCTGTTCCTGAAATAAGATGAAGGATGGGGGTTCCTGTTCCCAAAAATGGGGTCACTGTGGGAAGATGGGGGCTGGGAGCCTCCAGTCCGGCCTATCTTTCTGTCGCTCTTCAGTGAGGTCTGTATTCCTGCTGGACTGAGCTCAGGGAGGGCTGCCTGCTGTTTGGGTTCACCCTTGGGTCGCTGGGCCCCAGCACAAAGCTGGTCAAAGAATATGCACGTGGGTGGGGCGCAGTGGCTCATGCCTGTAATCCCAGCACTTTGGGAGGCTGAGGCGGGAGGATCACTTGAGGTTAAGAGTTTGAGACCCACCTGGCCAACATGGTAAAACCCCATATCTACTGAAAATACAAAATTAGCCAGGCGTGGTGGCCCACACCTGTAAATCCTAGCTACTTGAGGGGTTGAGGGAAGAGAATTGCTTGGATCTGGGAGGTGGAGGTTGCAGTGAGCCGAGATCGCGCTGCTGAACTCCAGCCTTGGTGACACAGCAAGGCTCCATCTCAAAAAAAAAAAAAGCAGCAGCACTTGACTCCTGTCCACAGAATGGGCGAGTCGGAACAGACAGGAGCAGCACGGGGAGGAGAAAATAACACGAGGGGCTCAGTCCGATGATAACCAGTGGTGTTAGTTTTGCAGAAAAGAATAAAAGTGTTCCAAGGTCAACTAAAAAGTCCAACAGTACCAAACGTTGGCAAGGAGGTGGAGCAACTAAGATCCTCAGTCACCACTGCCAGGAGGATACACAGATATGACCACCTTGGGAGGCTGTGCGGCAGCATCTGCTAAATCCGAAGCTACCCTACCCTCTGCCCTGGGCTATGCACTCCCGGGTACATTCCCTGAAGAAACGCACGCACTGGCACCCCAGGAGATGCTACAAAGAGATGGCTCACACCAGCGCAGCGGGAGATGGAGAAACAGAAGATTATATGGGGCTGGGCGCGGTGGCTCACGCCTATAATCCCAACACTTTGGGAAGCTGAGGCGGGTGGATCACCTGAGGTCAGGAGTTCAAGACTAGCCTGGCCAACATGGTGAAACCCCATCTCTAATAAAAATTAAAAAAAAAAAAATTAGCCAGGCATAGTGGTGTACGCCCGTAATCCCAGTTACTCGGGAGGCTGAGGCAGGGGAATTGCTTGAACCCAGGAGGCGGAGAATGCAGTCAGCCAAGACTGCGCCACTGTACTCCAGCCTGGGCGACAGAGCGAGACTCTGCATCAAACAAAAAAAAAAAACAGAATATTATACGGCAACAAAGATGAATGACTACAGATACACTCAGCACACAGATGGATCTCACAGACCTAAGGGCGAAAGCAAGCACAGACAAGGACATACTGGAAGATTCCATTTATGTCGAGTTCAAAAGCAGGCAAGATAACATTCTGTAATTCAAGGATGCACACCTCATGGTAAAAGCTATCAGGAAAAGCAAGGACACAGTGACCCCCAAGGTCAGGAGAGCGCTCATGACTGTGGTCGTGATGGACAGGGGTATGGAGGGGCGGCTTCTGGGAGGTTGTGTGGTCTTTACCGAAGTGGTGGGGAAGTGTTGTTCGCTTTGTAATTCTTTGGTAAACTTACCTTTGCATTTCAAGCACTTTTCTGTGGGCAAATTATAATTGACAATTATTAAAGATTTTTTAAAAGCAGTGGAGTTAGAAGCACTGTGTAGTCAAATAACGTGAGGCCAGGCTGCAGTGGAAGATTTGTGGGGAAGGGACGACAGAACTATGGAGACCCCTGTGGGTGGCAGGGAAGGAGGGTTCCTCGGGAGAGAGGGACACGGGCCTCCTGTGGGGAGGGAAGGGAGGGGTCTTCCCCTGGGGACGGGTCTGTGGAGGTGCCAGTGGCCCGCAGGGTCCTACTTTCTCCCCACGCCCAGTGCTGACTGGGGGCTGTGGCCGCAGCGAGGGAGGGAAGGGAAGGAGAGGGGGGCTGGCACCCCACTCAGCCCAGGAAGGCCGGCCGCCTTCTGCCTCTGGGAGTAAAGTGTGGGAGTGGCAAAACCCGGCTGGGAACCGCTGCACAATGCTGCTTTATCAGGAGTTCCCAGGACAGGGCCAGGTGGTGGGTGGCAGGAGCAGGGAGGGCCCGGGAGGGGAGCTCTCTAGGTGAGGACCCCGCCCACCCGGTGCTCTCATCCCTCAAGGGGCGGGCTCGAAAGCTCCTGGGCAGCCTGCCTCTAATGGAGACAGCAGAAGAGGGGTGGGGGAAGGAGGGAGAGCTTTGCCCCGGGTGGCAGGCGAGGCGGCCACAGTGATTAGGAGCCAGGCCTCCAGCATCCAAATCCCAGCTCCACTTGCTCTGTGACCCGGGGCAGGTCTCCCAGGCTCTCAGTCTCCTCCCTAGAAAATGGAGATGGTAAGAACACGTGTGTCTTGGAGCTGATGGGAGGGTCCAGTAGGTTAGTTCACAGAAAGCACTCAAACAAGTGCCTGCTCATATTAACAACACAGCTATTGTGACATAGCTATAATATTAATACAGCTATTAGTAATGCAGCTAAACAGTCTTTGAGCACTTACTATATGTTTTGCCTGCCGAGTATACATTTATATCCTCAAAACAACCCTAAGAGTAGATACCATTAGCACCCTCATTTTACAGAGGAGGACACCTGGGCACAGAGAGGCGGTGTGACTTGTCTGGGGTCACACAGCTAGTAAGAGACAAAGCTGGCTCTGGAGGCCAAGCCCTTGACCTCTGCTGTGTCAGACGGGTTAGGAGCTCCAGAACAGAGCCAAGGGTTTGACTGCCACATCTGCCACATATTTGCTGTGGGACTGCTGGCCTGTGCCTCAGTTTCCCCTTCCCAGAGAAAGTAAAATTATCAGGAATAGAGAGCTCCGAGAAAAGGAAGCTCAAGATGGCTTTCAATAACACAAAGCTGTCCCACTTTGCTCTGATTAAAATCAGAACCACAACGGGACTGTTTGTCACCTATCTGACTGGCAAAGGTGAGAGTGTCAGGTGACACCCATCTATTCCAGCAGGGGAGTGAGGAAACCCCGGCGCCATCAGACACTGAGGGGTGGGAGTGTGAGCCGGACAACCTCCCCATCAGGGTGAAACACTACCGGCAAAGCTAACCGGGTGCCTGTGTCACACCACGAGGCCACGAGCTCAGACTCCCATCTAGAGACGTGCGCACAGTCACACTCAGGCGGGTGCAGCCCTGTTCACGGCACAGAAAGACGGGAACGGCCTGACGGCCATCAGTACACAATGGCTGTGCTGTCTGTGGGGGCGCGCGTGTGCATGGGACGCTCGAGGCGGCACTCTGTGTCCTGACAGCGAGCCTCGGAGTGGGAAACGCAAAGCACAGGACAGAATATAAACATGGGAAGTCCGCTCCATCTGAGTAAAAACAAAAGGGAGGGGCAGGCACTTGGGGGAACAAATATTCCAAGAAAGAAAGAAAAGAAACCGGGGGTGATGATGCTATCTCTGGGAAGGGCCTGGCAGGCGGGTGGGAAAGAGATTTGCTCGTCCCTGTACATCCTTTTGTGCTGTGTGCAGTTTTTCAGTGATTATTTAGGGGAATAGGTAATGCATGCACATGGAGCAAAAACGTGCTTTCTGAAAATTAAAACACAGGAAAAGAGAAATGAGGTTAATAACACCTCCTCCTCAGGGTCTCTGGGAACAGCTGCACGACCATGCTCACAGACTCACAGCACACGCGTGCCTGGCACACGGAGTGGGGCCCCGGGGGGCTGGGGTTATTACAGCTCACTACCAGATGAGAACCCAGAGGGCGACAGTGTGCAGGGGGTGCCTGGCATGAGGACCTAGGGCCCCGGGGGGGCTGGCGTTATTAGAGTTCACTGTGGGATGAGAACCCAGAGGGGGACAGGGTGCAAGGGACGGAAACCGTCAAAAGCACCAAGTTCAACATTTACCAAATGCTTACTGCGTGTTGAGCATCGGGCTAAGCACGAGGCATACACAAGATCTCCCGTCCTCCCACAGCCCTGAGAGGTGGCCACCAATACCCCCTGTAACAGGTGAGGAATTGGAGGCCCAGGGAAGTTCTGTCTCTTACCCAGGGGCTCCCAGCCAGTGGGAAAGGCTAAGGGATGTGTGTGGATTGGGCAGTTCCGGCAGGGAAGTTCCCACTGGCCCTAGGGAAGGCAGCAGATGGCCTCCCAGCCTGGGGAGGGTCAGGGCAGGACCAGAGGGCCCCAGGAGACAGGCTTCAGTGAGCGGTGGCTTCCGTCACATCCGCCAGAGCTGGCTCCCCTGGGATGGGAGAGTGTTCCCCTTCTCACCCTCTCTGGCCCCCCCAACCTTCCTGTGGGCCAAGGAATGTGGCAGACGAGAAGCCTTGGCCCCCGATGGGTGACTACGCGGGAAGGGTCCCACCTTCCTGGCCGTGACTTGGAAGGAGGCTGCTTCCTGCTGGCAGCATATGAGGGGCTGGGCTCGGTGATGGGAGAAACAGCTGCTGGGGACACCCCTGACCGGTGTCTGGCCAGGAAGTCTGGCTCGCCTGAGCCAGTGGAACGAGGAGATGCAAAGGGAGGCCCGGAGGGAGGTAGGGACCCAGCGCCCAGAAACTACCAGGTTGAACAGGTCCCCACAGAGCTTCTGTCAACAAAGGAGCCTGGGTAAGAACCAACTGGACAGGTATCAAGCCCGTCTCGTCCAAGCCAGTTCCAAATCACAGAAGGGCAGCCCCAGTAAGCAGTGACACTGAAGCCCCAAGGCCTGGGGTTCAGTCCTACCTCTGCTACTGCCTGCTGTGTGACCTTCAGCAAGCCCTGTACCTCTCTGGGCCTCCTTTCTCATCTCTAGAGTGAGGATGATACTAGCACCTACTTCACAGGTTGCTGTGAAGATGAGTAAGGTAACACGGGTAAAGCGCTGATGACCTCGGCTGGCACGAGGACGCTCCTCCATCGCTGTCCCCTCGTCCTCTCCACCCTCTTCTGCTTGGACTGTCACAGTAGCCTCCCCACAGTCTCCCTGTTGCCATCCCCCCGCGATCCGTCCCCCACACAGCAGCCCGAGCAATCTTTATAAAAGGAAAACCAGATGTCGCTAAAGCCTCTGATGACTTCCCATTATGCACAGAATGGAATCCACATACCCCACCGGGCTCTGCCAGGCCCTGCTGTATCCGACACAGCCTCCAAGCCTCTGACCCCACCCCCCGCTCAGCCACACTGGCTTTTCTTTTGCTTTTTTATTTATTTCTGTTGTATTTTATGTATTTCTTTAACTGCTCTTTGCAGAGCAAGGCTACCACGCAGTCAGGGTGCACAGGGTACCCTACACTGGCCTATCTGATGATCTTCGACCATCCCGAGGTCATTCCGACCTCAGGGCCTTGGCACTTCTGTACCCACGACCTGTCACATTCTTTCTACCTCCTTCCAGCCTCGCTTATATTTTCTCATCAGTCAGATGTCATCTTATCCAGAAAGCCCTCCTCGATTCCCCACGCTGGGTCACATGCCTCCTCCGGCTTCCTCCGGCCCCTGCGCCTCCATTCCAGTCCCAATCCCTCTCTGTGCCCCTCTCCACCATCCGGCCCCACCCCCTCTGCCTGGGTTTCCCCATCCTTCTTTGACCCCTCTGCCTGGATCCCCCCCAATCCCACCCCGACCTCTCTGCCTGGGTGCCCCACCATCCCCCCCCCCCCCCCCCCCCCCCCCCCCCCCCCCCGCCCGGACCCCTCTGCCTGGGTCCCACCATCCCGCCCTGACCCCTCTGCCTGGGCCCCACCATCCCGCCCGGACCCCTCTGCCTGGGCCCCACCATCCCGCCCGGACCCCTCTGCCTGGGCCCCACCATCCCGCCTGGACCCCTCGCCTAGGCCTCTCCTTCATGGCCCCGGCCTCTCTGGGCTGTCACTGCCTGGGGACAGCAGGTCTGCCTCCTTCACTGTACTATAATCTACAAGGGTAGAGCTGGGCTGTGTTGGTTACCACTGGGATCAACAATCAGATACACAGAAAGAATGTAACAACGCCTCACCAGCCTCCAACTTCCACCTCCGTCCTCCCTGCCTCCCTACTGAGAGGTTCAAGTCAGTATAGTTCTCTCTCCCAGCTGTCACCCCTGGCACCTGCCCCTAAAGGGCAGTTGGGGCAAAGTTGCAGTCACCGTCCTGGATGCCCAAGGGTGTAAAGGTGAAAGCCCTCCCAGCCTGCCTTCTCCTCTGGGTGTAGGGACTCAGTGGGGACCAGGTCCCAGCTAAGCCAGTTGCGTGAACCATCTCCCCATGTTTCCAACCAGACTGGTGGGTGGGTGGGTCCATAAACCTCCCATCTCACGGCCGAGGAAATCATTTCAGCGAGGGCCACAAAGCTGTCCAAAGCAGGACTTGGAATGAAGGGAGCCTCGGAGCCTGCTGGGGAGGACAGTGGTCCAGCCACTGGGGGCGCGACTTGGCAACCGCCAGGAAAGTGGGGAGCTCTGGCTTTTCCGCTGCTAGGCATATGCCGGACAGACTCTGGCCATGGTCTACAGGAACACGGGTTCCAGAAGGCCCATCATCACACTGTTACGGCCCCAACAGGAGATCACCTCAGTGGCCATCAATAGGTGAAGAGCCAACTCCTGTGTGACACCATCACAAAAAGAAATACCAACAGGAAAAACAAATGGCCTGTCCTAGACCAACACACATCCCCATGGAGAGAGATC